TGATTTTCAGAAGTAGATCACCAGGACTTTCTTCATAGTCCATCTTAGTCTGGAAGCTCCATTGAAACCTGTTCATCATCATAGTAACACACAAGCCTCCACTGACAGACGGGTGGTGGCTGCACATGAGGCGCATTGACCAGGAATTGAAGGAACCCATGTCTCCCACGTGGAAAAGCGAGAATTCTACTACTGAAGTATCACTGGCCCAGCCTATAACCATGTACTAGCCATATCCTAAACTTTTCCAACCTATAATCCATCCTCTGCAATAATTTTCATTGAGGAAATCTCTATTTCTCTCTCACTTACCGTGATTTAATCACAGGAAGCTCATGCCCCAAATCCTAAATCATCTGTCCTCCGACACATCAGAATAAACAGAAGTTGAGAACAACAGGAGGTCAAAAAACGTTCTCCGCTGGGTAATAATCTCAGCGTGGTGGAGACAGGAGTCTAATAAGCCCTCCCATTTTAAAGACTGCAATGCTTACGTCTCATGGGACTTACTCTATACCTGATTTTCTCTGTTGATAAGATTGTGGCCCATTTAATTCATGGCTGAAAGAACAAACTTGAGCTAACGTGAAAAGCTCATGACATGTTTTACTTGGACCTTTGTTCCAAAGCTAATTTATTATTTGTTCATGTGTAAAGCTCTATCTTACGTATGCTCCACGTAAGCAAAACTATTGGGATTTCACAAGGAACTTTATCCTGTTTGTCGTTGCTGTTGTTGTTGATCAAGGAGCTATATCAGCCATTATTGTAATATACTAACATGTGGCATGGAGGTTTACTTACACAGACAACTTTAGGACAAGAGGGATAAATCGAAGCATCATGGGGAAAGTGTTAATTATTTCACCCTGCTGAATATTAGGGGTGCTGCCAGAAGTTGTGAGAATGTAGGCAGTTAAAATTTGCCTGACAGGTTGCTGTTACAAAATTTCTAGTGATATTATTTGTGGAGCATAAGCAGGAAATGGCCAAAAGCTGTTCTCCTTTAAAAGCCTGATTTTTACACAGCTGTCAATGAAGCAATTATTTTGTCTTTTATTTTAAACGTGAAGGAACACGTTCTAGGGAGTTTTTTTTTTTTTAAAGAAAGTTTTGAAACTTGTTTAAAACTTCTCTTTCTTAAAAAGAGATTTTTTTTTTTTTTTCCAGTCAAAATGTGTTCAGATACTGAGGAAAACCAATGAAGCAGAAACTATATTATTCCAAGGCCAGGTTCTTTGGAGGTGCAGTGAGCCCTGAATTCAGGCGTTCTTGCTGTGCTCAGCAGACTTGGCCCGGCAATCAAAATCGTTTGATTCTAACGCTGGTACTCCTATAACCAGGGAGGTTCCAGAACATTGTGAGCTCTGAAAAAGCATAATTACAAACAAAGAATGACAAGAAGCACACGTTGACTTAATATAGCACGCTTCTTTCAAAGTGCACCCAGCCTTTTTACACGTGTATGCTCTCACCTGTCCTCATAAAGCCCTTGATTGGTAGGTGAGGTGTTTGCCATCACCCCCACATTACAGTATAGGACACTGAGGCACCAAGAGTTTCAGGTTAAGATGGGTTATTTGCAGCTCGTTGTGTTTGCTGTCAAGTCTTGGTCTTAAATTAACATTCTCCCCTCCCTTTCATCAATATGCCTTTAAAATTTAGAGCAGTATTTTGTCAAAGGTATTAATCATTAATGGTAGAATTTCAGGTGAGCATTATCTGCTTTTGGATTGTCATAGCTTGGCGGAGTGTTTGGTATTTCAAATCAAAACTAAACCCATTGCCATCAAGTCAATTCCAACTCAGAGCGAAGCTGTAGGACAGAGTAGAACTGCCCCATAGGGTTTCCAAGTTGTAAATCTTTACTGAAGCAGATTGCCACATCTTTCTCCTGCAGAGCAGCTAGTGGGTTTGAACCACCAACCTTTCAGTTAGCAGCCAAGTGCTTAACCACTATGCTACCAGGGCTCCTTGTCTGGTACTTAGGAGTCCTCAATTTATGTTTCTTAAATAAATGAGTACGTGTATAATTGAATGAGAAATATTTTGGGCATCCTCATCAGATTACATCTATGTTACCCCTATACTAAGTTCTTATATATAAAATCAGGTCAATTTCCAAGCTAGCAATCCTATTTCATTGATCAGTCTGTCCTTCTTTGTGCCAGTATCACCTATTTTAATTATTAGAATTTTATAATATGTTTTAAGATCTGTTAGGGCAGGTGCTGACTCATTATTCTTCTTTCAGTGCCTTTTTCAACCAGTTCACCAAGCAGGGATGTCTATTTTGCTGCCTGCTCTAGTGCCTCAGGCAGCTACAGCATCCTCTGGCAAGGTCTGGATGGATGGAGTCAGAGCGAGGCCTATGTTCTCCCTCTGTCTCTTCCTAGATTAACTCCTCTGAGTCCCAATAAAATGTAAACTTATAAGGAGGGCCCTGGTGGTACAGTGGGTAAGAGCCTGGCTGCTAGCCAAAAGGTTGGCAGTTCAAATCCACCAGCTGCTCCTTGGAAACTCTATGGGGGCAGTTCTATTCTGTCCTTGAGGGTTGCTGTAAGTCGGAATTGACTCGATGGCAACGGGTTTTATAATGATAACGCCTATATGACAAAGTTACTATGAGAATAAACCGAGGCAACTTCTAAGACTCACCTAGCACGTAGTAGGTGGTCAATTCTTACTAGCTAGAGTGCAGGAGTGACTCTGAAGGTCTAGAAGCTCATGATTCTGTCCCTCCATCCCTAGGAACAGAAACTGCAACTCTTTTTAAAGCATACTGTACAAGTGGTGAGGCACGGATCTCTCAAACTCAGGCCAGCTTTTAGGCTGAGAGTATCCAGGATAACTGGAGTCCCTGGGTGGTGCAAATGATTAACACTCTTGGTTGCTAACTGAAAGGTTGGAAGTTCAAGTTCTCCCAGAGGGGCCTTGGGAGAAAGCCTTAGTGATCTACCTCCAAAAAATCAGCTGTTGAAAATTCAATGGATCACAGTTCTACTCTGACACACATGGGGTCACTGTGAGTCGGAATTGACTCAAAAGCAACCTCTTATATCCAGGATAACTACTTGGTTACAGACTCTGAACGGGCCTTCAGGGTTTGCATTGATACAGGGAAGGTCTGGTGGTTTTGTTAAACTGGAGGGGTCCCAGAATGGCCTGGAGGACTGAATCAACCATTCCCTCCCCAAGGACTGAAGCTCACTTTGCCTGCCCTTGCAGGAGTCAGGAATCCAGGGAATTAACACCCTTTGCCCCAACTGCAGCCAGGGAGCATATCTCCAGTCTTTGGTAGCCAGACAAAGTCCTCAAGCCATGAATTGCAGGTTCTGGGTGTTAGAAGTCATTCTGGCACACACCGAAGAGATGTGGGTGAGGGAAGATAGGCAGGACTCTGACAGCATGAAAGACTGAAGAAATGAATGTATTTCTAAGAACCCCGCACCCCTCCCCATACTGAATTGGTCCCTTACATCTGCCCAGAGGTTTATAAAGGTGACTCGTTATCTTTAGACAAAGGCCTGTGATGAGTCACAAGGCAGCCAGGAGCTTTGAAGATCAGAATCTTACTTCTTTCCTGGTACCTTCCCTCCAACTCAGTTGGAGGGAAGGCAGGGCATGTACTCATTCATTCTTTCAGCAAGGGTCTGTGAAGTTCTGCTCCGTACTTTCAGGAGCTAAAATGCCAGGGTACAACATTTAGACCCACTCTGCCCTCAGGGAGCCTTCATACTCTACAATGAGAGAGAGAGAGCATGGTGGGTATCCTTGTATGCATGGCCTCTGCTCTCTGAGCATAGTCATAAGGCAATTTAACTGTCCAGCTTAATTCCATCCCTGCATGGCCTTCAATAAAAGAAGAGATTGGATGTTCAAAACTAGAAGGGACCATACCAGTTGCTGTAGAGTCAATTCCTACTTATGGCAACCCATGTGTGTCGGAGTAGAACTGTGCTCCACAGGGTTTTCAGTGGCTGGTTTTTTGGAATTAGATTGCCAGGCCTTTCTTCTGAGGCATTTCTGGGTGGACTCAAACCTTCAACCTCTTGGTTAGCAGTTGTGTGTGTTAACCATTTGCACCACCCACGGAAGTACAAGGGGGCTTAGATGTTACCTAGTCAAGACTCTTTATTTTTTATAACAGGAAACTAAACCCAGAGAGGTGGTTTGCCCAAGTACATCCAGCTTTAGAGCAGAAAAAGGACTTCACTAGTTCTCTGTGCTGCAATTTTCCATCTGAAAAATGGAATTGCTACTTGGCTTACATCAAGCTTCCAGAGGCACCACATAGTCTATAAGGATATTTCTTAAACATATTGAACATTTGTGAGAGAAGAAGATAGAAACAGATGGGGTCGATCAACTCAACATAAGAGACATGGAAGCAATATATAGGTTAGGAGTCAGACCACCTGAGTTCAAGTTCTGGTTTCCCCACTGAATAGCTGTGTGAACGTAAACAACATTCTTATCCCTCTAAGCCTCCGTCTTCTCATCTGTAAGATGATGACGATGGTGTTTCCTCACAGGATTGTTTTAGAATCAAATGAAGTGATATACACGAAGTGCTTACCTCAGCGCCTAGAACCAGGTGTGTTACTAGGATAAAGGATTTCTAGAATGGGCCCTTGGTAGCGCAAATGGTTAAGCGCTGAAAGGTTGGCAGTTGGAATCCACCTAGAGGCGCCTCAGAAGACAGGCCTTGAGATCTGCTTCCAAAAGGTCTCAGCCTTGAAAACCCTAAGGAGTAGTTGTACTCTGCACACATGAGGTCACCATGAGTTGGAATTGACTTGACAGCAACTAACATCAACAACAAGAGAATGGGTCCTGCCCTAAAATGTTAGATGCTCACAGGCCCATGGGGTAAGACCAGGATGCTCACTGATCTCTCTCTCTCTGTTGTCCTTTTCTAGTTCTGGGAGCCCTGGAGGAGCAACACGGAGGGGGAGAGTGTGGCGAGAGAATGAAGAAACCAACCGTGCAGGAGAAGCATGAGGTGGCAGTGTGGCACTTGGTTTAGAGGGTTGCGGCCGGCAGCGGCCCCATGGGCAATCCTGCTGGCGCTGGGCCTCCCTGGCTGGGTGCTGGTTGTCTCGGCCACAGCTGATGCTGTGCTCCCGGAGCAGCATGCCTCCTCGGCTGGCCAGCCCCCACTGGACTGGCTGCTCACAGACCGGGGCCCCTTCCACCGTGCTCAGGAGTATTCTGACTTCATGGAGCGGTACCGCCAGGGGTTCACCACCAGGTACAGGATCTACAGGTGAGTGGGGACCTCCCCGGCTGCGACAGGGGCTTCCCTCAGAGCTCAAGGTGGGCAGGCCTCCCCCGCTGTGCAGGCCCTGACTGCTAAGCCAGCTGGAATGCCCTCATACTGAACTAGAGGAGCAAGCTGGAGGAGCACTAGGCAGGGAAAATCAGCCTACCATGTTGGTTTTTAAAAAAAGCAAGAAGAAAACACATACAAGCTGGAAAACCTGCTGATGCCTCCTGGGGAACTTAGCAAAAGGGTTTCTATTTATAGGTTGTGCTGCTTACAATTTGAGGACAAATCAGGCGGCACAGAGTCAGCGTGTGGCCCGTGCTGCTGCAGGAGGTCAGAGTCAAATGCTGGGGCTGGGTTTTAACAAATGGGTTAGATACTTTCATGAGTTGTAATTATTTAGTCATGCAAATGAAGGAAGGGCAGCCTCAGCTCCTGCCTGAGAGGTCTGGGGTGGGAGGGGGGAGCCTGTAGGATCAGGGACCAACCTCCCCTCACTCTGGATAACACCACACCCTCAGCTGGCCTGTGCATGGAAATAGGCCATCTCTCCCTGTCCCCTTCTGTGCATCCCCAGGAGTATGGGAGCTGAAAGTCAAACAGGATACCTGCCTGGTCCATCAGAGCTGGGATAGGCTGGGCACATATTCCTTGCTGTTGGGCCAGCACTTCCGAAGCACAGTGCTTCCCCGTGCCCTAGCCCACGTGACCCTTTGCATGAACGATTTCCAGCCTCCCTGGCATCTCTTTTCCACTTGCTCCCTTATCATCTCTCCCTTCTCTTCATTTTGCCTGTAGTCTTTAGATAATCCTGGGAATTTTGTTAAATTTTGTCTTCTTTTTTTAAAAATAATAATAATAGAAAAAAGACATTTATCTTTTAGTTAAAAATGAATGTTTCTAATGCAGAAGAGAGAGAGAGAGGGAGAACCTAAAAAAACACAAAGACAAACAAAACCTCAAAATTACCTATTATTTTAGCATCTAGAGGTTGTGATTATTCACATTTTGACATATGTATTTCTAGTCATATGAACATACTGATATTTTTAGACCTCTTATTTTTCTTGCCTTATGTAAATTAACTCATTTATTCCCTCCAACAACCTTATGTTGGAAGAACAATTATTGCCCCTATTTTACACATGAGGAAATTGAGGCCCAGAGAAGTTAAACAACCTGATGAAGTGCACACAGCTAGGAAGTGGCAGAGCCCGATTGGCTCCCAGGTAGTCAGACTCCAGAGTCTGCGTTCTTAAAATGTTGTTAAACACAGTTTGCATTTTCTAAGTTTTTTTTTTTTTTTTTTTTTTTAACTTCTGCAGTAACCGTGGAACCTGTTTAGGTTAGTACATGGGCTCACAGATAAGGTTCTAGAAGTATTCATCCCTAGAAGATTCCTAAATGATACTAGAGTAGCCATTTATAGGGACCATCCACCTTGTTCACAAACCCCCTGCTCAGACACAGAAGAGGGGCTGAGATCAACTATTTGAGGGGTGGTACCTCACGGGTGCAGAGGTACAGAGTAACCAAATCCTGCTCCTCAGGAATGGTCTGCCCGGCTCTCTTTTCAGGCTACCTCTCCTTCCAATGTAATTAGATCCAGTTTGGTCCTGGAAGGGATTGCAATTCACACTCCCTGCTTCAGCAGCCCTGGTCCTTGCCGTCTTCCAAAGACTGCAGCAGAAATCCACATAGTGTCATTAAGACAGAGGGGGCAACTCAGGCTGGGAGTGGCTGAGTTAACACCTACTCAGGTGAGATTAGAGAGAACAGAAGCGGTACGGAACAGAGCGTCGATTTAACTTTCAATAAATGTGTGTGAATCTAGACATATGCCCCCACAAATATGTTTATATGGCAAATTCAGGACGATCCTTCTCTTTATCAAATAATTCTTTCTTCCATTCCTTTAAAAACAAAAATTGGAAAATCCACCCTAGAATGTGGTTAAGCCATGAATCCCTCCAGTCTATTTAAAATGAGATTTCCCTTACCTCAGACTTTTCACTTTATCCCAAATCTATCAAAAGCACAGTTATCAACAAACAAATATTTTTTTTTTAAAGTGTATTGGAACTGAAATGTCAGACTGGGATTTCCAGTATTACTATTCCATTCAAAGAGCTATAGGAGCTAGAAGGAATAAGTCATCAGCTTCCTTCTCCCCTCAGTAGATTTTTCTTCTCATCAAGCCCCAGCCCCAAATCTGGATAGCCTGGCAGCCACTTACTGCCTAGGTGGTAGCCCCATGGGAAGTGTCTGTAATCACTTCTGCACCATCAACGGTTCTATCAGTTGGTAATGGTTTTCTGATCATTGAATGCGACAAGCTCTTACCCTGTGCCATTCTGTTTCTCTGGGGTCAGTTATTGCGTATGAACCTGTACTTGGGGAAACAGTAACCAGTCATTCTGACAGGAATGTAACATTCTGATCTGGGACCCTTTCATGGGGCGAAGAGAGAATGATCACACACCACTGCTCCTGGAGCATTCTGGAAGTTTTTGCCTTTAGTTATTAAGCAAAATGGTGGCTCCATGGATCCTTGTTGGGCTCTATATTATCCCACTGGGAATTCACTCTTATTCTTTTCCATTTTGTCTCTAGTGGCAATTTCCTCTGGCAAATCTAGTACCTTGATTACTCTGACTAAAGCCGGTCACAGAAAACTGATAAAACAAGCATCATCCCCAAATTTTTCTCCTTTTATCCAGAAGGACAGAGGGACAAAAAGCTTATAGGGAATATTGAAAATGCTTTTGGGGGTGATATCGGGGTCTCAAACAGAATTAGTCTTCATTTGATTCTTTTAGAAACTTTTGGTACATAGACATCTGATAGTATCCACATGTGCCTTGCATATAAGAAAGGCGGTGGACTGTGGTTGGAGGAGGAATAGGACTTTTCAGTAGAGCTGGAAGATTTGATGCAGCAATGCATGAAGCTCTCTCAGCCTACAGGGAAGAGACTCTCATTCCTTTCATAGCAAGGTTCTAATATTAAACCCCAAATCCCACCTATTCCTATTTGGACATCAGAGCATGCTGTCACTTTGCAAAGATACCTGATCATGCTAGAATAACTCCAGTTTCTCTAGCCATGGACCCCCAGAGATTGTTGTTCTTTCAATCACAAGTTTGTATTTACATGTAGCATAGGTGCTTAAGAGCAAAGGCTCAGGAGCCAGCTGATGTGGGTTCTAATCTTGAATCTACAGTTTACCAGCTGGATAATGTTGGGAAAATTATTTAATTTTCTTATCTGTAAAATGAGGACAATAATAGTGCCTACCCAAGTGGACTGATGTGCAAATTAAATGAGTTGATTGATGTGAGGCACTTAGAACGCTGCTTAATAAACATGACCTATTATTATTAGATTGTCCCCAATAAATATTAGCCAGTGCAAGAATGATAATGAGATGAGAGTCATGGGTGCTATCTTTGTTTTCACATCTGCTAAGGGCATTACACAACTTATATTAGAAGGAAAACACATTTTACTTTCTTGCATACCTTTATAGAGCACATTAAGCCTACCCCCAATCTAGCTCTCTGCTGGGAGGGGAACTCAACTGAAGAATGATTGATCCTCTCTGGGGCACACTCTTACTGGCCTTGTGAGCTACCAGAGGGACCAGGATGGTTTCCAGCATAGTATAGAACAGTTAAAGGTCAAGCTTTTGCCAAATGAGCAGGCCTTCCTTAGGCAAGTCCTCCAAAGGCTAAACACTGCCAGGTCTCCAGTCTCAGGGCTAAAATGAAGTCTAGGGACAAGAAAGGCACCATTAAGAAAAGAGAGACAATATGCACTTCAGTTGTTGTTGTTAGTTGCCATCGAGTTGGCCTCGTGGCTCATGGCAACCCCATGCACAACGGCCTTTGTGATCCATAGGGTGTTCATTGGCTGATTTTCAGAAGTAGATGGCCAGACCTTTTTTCCTAGTCTGGAAGCTCCACTGAAACCTGTTCAGCAACACGCAAGTCTCCACTGACAGACAAGTGGTGGCTGTACATACTGTGCATTGGCTGGGAATCAAACCCAGGTCTCCTGCACGGAAAGCAAGAATTCTACAACCGAACCACTGCTGCCATCATAAGCCTTCTTAAATAACAAGATGGGCATGGATGGCTTACTCAATTTTTGGCAACTCTTCAGATTAAACTAACCAACCTCTTAGTATGTCCACTAGCCCTGTCAAACCGACATCTGAGCCATCAGCCCACTTCTCAGGCACTGTCTCATCAGCAGGCTAAGTGGTAAGAGCTAGAAGAGCAGTGATCTTGTCTCCATTTCCATTTGTGATCCCCAAACCCCTTCTTCCCTTGCTTGTAAATGCTTAAGTGGTCAACTTCTCAAAGAAGTCCTATGAGGCTGATGGGACTATGAGGGTCCACGGCAGTGAAATAGACTTGTTCAAGGTCAGAGAGGTAGCCAGTCACATCCAGAAATAGACTCTGGGCTCCTGGCTTGAAATCTCCTGCTCATTACTCTAGACCATGCCACTTCCTTTAACTGGTAAGTGCATCTTCATCATAACACACAACCTAATCAGGCACCTAAATTGCGCTGATGCAAATGTAAATATGGTTTCTCGAAACACTCCGGCAGTAATCTTCCATTCTCTCTTCGCTACAAATCAAAGTAATGAGCAGTCTGGTTTTTTTTTTTTTTTTTTAAATTTCTTTTTGTATTAAGGTTTTAATAGAGAGATAATCATGGGATTGGAAAAAAGCCAAGCCACTATGCGGAAACACTTAAAACTCGGAAAGAATAAATTAAAATTAAGAGGGAAAGTTAGAAATCATACAGAACAATGAGTATAATGTGCTGGTCTGGAGGAAAGTAAGGTTAGGTACAACTCCAAACTATGAAGTTTAGTCATTATTATCTCCATTTTTAAACCAAAACCAAACCAAACCCATTGCCATCGAATCAATTTTGACTAATAGTGACCCTATAGAACAGAGCAGAACTACCACAAAGGGTTTCTA